ATGGATGGAACTGGGTCCCCCAAATTCACATGCTGAAGCCCAACCCCCAAGTACCAATACAGTCATCCCTCAGTATCATGGAAGAACGGCTCCAGAGTATCCAAATCCTCAGATGTTCAAAACCCTTATTCAACATTGCACACATCATCTGTATACCACAAATGCACTCATCCCATATATTCTAAGTAATTTCTAGATCTATAATATAAAATGATATATAAATTGTATCTATAATGTAAAATTGCATGCAAATTGAATTAATGAGTAATTACAGGGGAAAAAAAAAAACCCCTCTGAACATATTTAGTAGAGACACAATATTTTTCCAAACAGTTTTTGTTTGTTTGTGATAAGGTCTCATAGCCCTGGCTGGCCTGGAACTCCCTAGCTGGCCTCAAGCTCAGAGATCCACTTGCCTCTGCTTCTACCTCTTGAGTGCTAGGATGAAAGGTGTGTACTGCTACCCTGGCTCCAAACAGTTTTGATCTACAGTTGGTCAAATCCAGAGATGCTTGGGGCCAACTGCATCTGGAGACAGAACATTGAAGAGTTAGAGTTAAAGTACCCTTATCCAATAGAACTGATACCCTTCTAAGAAGACAGGAAGACACTAGAGACCTCTCTCCTTGTGCACAGGAAATAATAATGATAATGATGATGCTATCAAAGGACCAGCAAGGTAGGCAGGAAGAGCAGCCCTCACCAGACACCAGCCTGGTACACACTGACTTTAGTCTCCCAGCTTCCGGAATGGTAAGAAAATTAATTCTACCACTTCAGTCACTAGCGAATACTACTAGTTATGTAGTATTATATACTACAGAAGCCCAAGCAGACCAATACACAATAAAAGCAGGAATAAACCTTCAACATGAGAAGTCTTTCCAAGGCAACTGGCTTCTAAGTGAAGCAAGGACACACAGTCACTGCCACTGTTTCTATCTGCCTCCATTCAAATGGTTCTTTTTCCAGGAGTCAGCTGCCACATATGATCTGCCCCACCCATGTCTGAACACACCTGTAACATGATTATGATACTGTTCGACCCAGAGATACTCCAGCCTCATCTACTGCCTACTCAGCAGTGACCAGATTCTGAGTAAAAGGACTTAAACATGAGTTTAAGTTCTGCCCTGGCACCATCCCCTGAATCCACCTTCTCACACAGACATATGACTCAGACCCACTATGCCATGTTATTTAGAACATTTAATATGGCAGATGTGATAAAAACTTGTTAACTGTAAATTACATTAATATCTTATTCTTGCCTTATTATGGCAGTTTAAGTCTTCCTTAACAACTGGCCGACAAGTGTATCTATTTTCCAAAACTGTCTTAAAAGAAGAAATTACAATAGAGGTTGGATTTCCCTTATCCAAGAGGCTTGGGGCCAGAAGTGTTCCAGAATATGGGGTATGTGTACTTGCGTAATGAAGTACGTATATATCAGCCTGAACAGGACTACAGGGCAAAGCACTGCTTATGCTGCTGTTAAGTTATTTTCTGTCATTTGTGTCTACAACTTGCATTTGTAATCATTTTAGGAAGAGAAGATTAAGTCTAAACAAGAACTTCCTTTGTTTCATACACACTTCACACACAACCTGAATACAATTCTCTATAGTACTCTTAAAACACCTGAATTCTGATCAAATTTGTCTTGGGGTCAGAGTGGAATTTTCCACTTAGGACATCATGTTGATTCTCAGAAAACTTTCCATTTGGGACCACTTCAGATTTCAGATCCTCACATTAGGGATCCTCTACCTGCAATTAAAATTCTGTGTATACCTGGGGCTGGAGAGATGGCTCAGCAGTTAAGAGCACTGACTGTGGTTAAAAGCATTGACTGCTTTTGCAGAGGACCCGGGTTCAATTCCCAGCACCCACATGGCGGCTATGAACCGTCCTTAACTCCAGTTCCAGGGGAATCCGAAGCCCTCTTCTGACCTCCGAGGCATTGCCTGACACGGATGCACTCAACATTGCATGACACAGATGCACTCGCATACATGCGGGCATTACACTCATACACATAAAATAAAAATAATAAAATATTTTAAAATTGTGTATACATGAAGCTTTGTTTCTTAAAAACATTACCAATGCAAACAGCAGAAAAAGAGGGACTGACTCCAAATAACTACTTCTTAGCACCATAACAAATGCTTTGCCCAGAGTCACATGTCAAACTGGCATTCACAGCCTTGTCTATTGAAAAACAAAAAAATCAAATGTTCAAACCAGGCCTGATAGCACACACCTGTAATCCCAGCTTTCTGGAAACTGAGGCAAGAGGATCCATTTAAAGCCAGCATAAGCTACATAGTAAGACCCTGTCCCACTCCTCCCCTACAAAAAAAGACATTCAGACACCCCACCATGTGGTTATGGAGTTGGGTTTGTCTGGCTTATAGTCACAATGCTGGTGCACAAAAAAGATTGTGCAAGATTACCTTGGGGATATGTGTAAAAGGGTATTATGGAGCATAAATGAATTTCATGGTTTTGTTTTTGTCTTTAGGGTTAGCCTCAGGGCTAGAAATGACTTATCTGACAAGAGAATTTACCAAATAGAAAGGCCGCCAGACTAAACTCCCCCACTGTCTGGAAGTTCCAAGGACCAGCTATGTATGATGTGACAGGGTTCTGAGGAGAGGAAATAATTGTGATCTCATGACTAAACCTGCCACGGGAAGGTAGCAACCCCAATAACACAGGCCCCAGAACTCAACACTTAAGTGGCAACACCTTCCAGCCCATGGGGACGGGGGATAGTGAAGACAACTGGGAAGAAGATGAAAAATGTGAGAAAAAAAAAAAAAAAAAAAAAAAAAGGGCTGGGGAGGTTCAAGGGCAAAGCCACCACTTCTTAGTTCAGAGGAAATTGGTAAGATGTGGGAGAGAAATGGCTAGTGGGAAAAAATGAAAGGTTAAGATACCCACAAGAGCCAAGAAAGGGGACCAGAGCCCTCATGGATGAGTCTCAAGAGGGTAGTGAGAAGAAATGGGAAATACCACTGTGAACCTAATATGGCACTACCAAGTCAATCAAAGGAATTGTTTTGCTTCCGTGGCCTAGAGGATAGAGACTCTTGAGAGGGGACTGCATAGTCCTTGGGGTGTGGGGGGTAAGAACAGAGGATGTAACTCACTAATAAAACTTTACCTTCAGGTACACTGGGATTTGTCCAAAGTGAAAAGCAGAAAAACAAAAAGACTTTTTTTAAAATTGCATTACTACAATGGCCTAGAGACATGATGAATTATGTTTTTGCCATAGCTGCATGCCTCTGACAGCCTGTTACAAGGTTGCTTTGACCTCTTTCTGAGCTACCTTAACTCCGGTATTTAAAAAAAAAGCACAAGCAGTATCTTTTTTTTTTTTTTTTCTTGCCTATGTCCTTTGAAAACACCCTGAGAAGCATTTCCATCACTCATTGTAAGAAAGAGAAACAATTTGGAAGCACCATTTGCAGTCCTGGATGGGAAAACTAATTTCCCAAGTCTCTGAAGGGAGCTGTCGGGGAGTTTCCAGTTCATTTGTGAGAAAAGTTAGCTTACTAGTTTTCCCAAGCATTGCTCACTACCCTGCTCTGCAAGCACCCTTGAATTCTTCAGTCATGAAACTTCAGTTTTAACATCAGAAAATCATTTCCACAAGCCATGTCATCCCCAGTGCATACTGCAAGCTACTCAGAAGCATTTGTGTCCCACAGAGCAGCCCAGCCTGGTCTTGCCAGGGCAAATTAAGCTAATGCAACTGATCAAATAAAGAACTCCAGGTCACTCTGTGCAATCACTGAGTCTTGGAGCATTTTCAAGGGTTATCCGGTCTGCACACACAAGGAAAACCGCCGGTGGATTTAACATGGATGAAAGCACATTTCTCAAACACTTGAGTGCTGCTGTTTGTTGAAAATGCTCATTATCCAGCGTTACATGACAGAGATCAGGAATATGACAGGGTCAAACAGAGAGGGGATGTAGAAGATGGAAGCATGGAGAGAAAGCAAAACGCAAAGCCCAGAAACAAAGCACTCCTACCTGCAAACCACCTTCTACAAGCTCCACCCATTTTAAAATGGTCAGTCTATGCAAGTGAGGGGATGGGTTTAGAAAGCAGCCAGGGTTCATACAGCAGCAACTCTCCACCCAGAGATCAGTCCCACTATTCAAAAAGTTAAGAATCTCAGAGCCCGGCAGGCAGGTAGATGTAGCTCCAAGTTCTCCATTTCAGACCACTGGGACCTTTACATCCTTCCATCAAAACTACACCCAACCTACCTAAAGGACAGAGAGGTTAAGTAAGATTAAGGCAGGGCTGTTCCTTGTCCCAAACCTCTAAAACCCTAGAACCAGTGTCCATCTCTTCCTTAAATACACTTTCTCCACGCGTCCACTGACTGCCCTTCACTGTACAAACCTGGCACATGGTTGAAAGTCCTGTTATTAACGCGGTGGTTGTTATCTATGAACACTTGGTAAGAGAACTGAAGGAGTGCTTGCACGCAAACTTTACATCTGTTTTGATAATGCAGTCACCTTAAAATTTTGAAAACTATGGTTGATAACTCTATTTTTTAAAAACCCAGCATGAAAAACACCCGGAATTACTTTTATTGAGGCTCAAAATCCCAGCGAGGAGCCTGGACCGGGTGCAGGATCAGGAAAGAACCTGAGAGTCCCCAGCAAGCCACGCCCACTGGCCGCTGGGCTCAGTTTCGTTTGGGGACAACCAAGAAACAGGCCTGGGCACCTCCAGCCCAAATTGGGGCCTGCTTATCCCATATACTGACGAAAACTTAGCAGAATCTGCCTTAAACCTGTTAGCAAAATGAGCAAACCTAAATAAGGGCGCAACTGCCGACCCGAACCGGCTAGACTGGTGGGGTCAACTCCAAATGCTCGGCTTTGTCCCCGAAGCTGTTCACAATGCCAGCGTTAAGTCACGCCTGCTATCCATTAACCAAAGACCCCCAGCATCCCGCGCATACCTTTCCGGAGAACTGTTATTGTCTACAAATTAAAGCGTTTTGCAAATCAAACCCCTCCACGCTCAAAAGGGAGGTGCCCTCGGTGCATTAAAAGTCACACATCAAATTCTTCCAGAAACCACTTGCTTAAATCGCCCTTAATAAACCAAGAGGGCAGAGCGGCGGGTAGAAACTTTGGTTCAGGGGGTTTAAGACTTGGAAATGCCGGGCGGGTCAGAGGCTGGAACCCGCCACAAAAGCGCCCTTCGCCGAAGCGAGGACCTCCTTCTATGAGATGTGACAGCAGCTTCGTGCCGGTCCATAAATAGTTCTAAAAAAAAAAAAATACACTAAGTTCTCCGCAGCCATCGGGGTCTCCCCAGTCCCAGCGCTGGGGCCCTGGGATCCCAGGCTTTCCTTCCCAGGCACACGAGCCCGGCGACCCCGCCACAGCACGGTTCCCACGCCGTCCCTCGGCTCCGCGTCCCTGGCCATCCGCAGGCCGGGCGCTGCCTGCGCTCCCGGGGATCCCGGTCCCCGCGCGTGACCACGCCAGCCCCGAGCCGGGAAGGCTGGCAGGAAGATGTGCATCGGAGGTGCCGGAGAGTAAGGACGCCCAGGCCGCGGCGGGGCCGAGGGCACCCGCGGGGTGCGCGGGGAACACGCTCCCCGGTCCCTTCCCCGGCCGCCGAAACCTGGGCGCTCCCAACTCCGCCGCCCGCCC